ATGATAATAATAACAATCAGTAATACTTTTGAGGGTGATAATTTTAATTTTACAAGACTTTCTAATATTAAGTTATATCTTAATAGCAAGATTAACTAACCTTATCGGGTAATGCTGCCAACACTGCATGATTATCAGCTGATTCCACCTTGGACCTAATAAGGATAAGAATTGATTATACATGTTAGATTTGAAATGCTGCACCTTTTGGACTTTTAGACATACTTTATTTTATATAATATGTTGCCTGGATTATCTAAATATGTAAGCACTAGCAAGTTATGCACACTTGTAGATGTTATTAGAAACCTTGCATATCACTTTATGCATCATAATGTTGATTCTGAAAACTCAACTATAAGAGCAATTTGTACATTTAGCCTGAAATTAAGAATTCACTTGATGCGTCTTTTGTATATTTAGGAATTAGTTGTTACGTAATTTATTTAGTTATGGACAAATGTGATTCATTTTTACAAGCCAAAAATGAACACAATTTTCAATGTAGTAAATAGTCACCTGTTTTTTTCAATCAAATCTTGAAAAGCAATAATGGAGGTGCCAATATTCCAAATTTAAACAGAATCCACCTATGCAACTCAGAGAAACTAATCTGCACACAAACACTTTAGTGTCTTTGGTCATTTGGTAGAAGAATAAGGTCACAAGATGGCCCTTTTATTAATCTGATTGAAAAAGATTTGGAGAATATGCATAATACCATGTATAAATTATGTACCAAGTTGCCAACAAATCTGTCCATTATTAACCTGATGAAAGTGGATGGGTGGACAGTCCAATTGGCACAGTCAAGATTTTGGCCACTCCAAAGCTAAAACATAGTTTGAAAATTCAAACGTATGCTCACATACAATCAGAACAAAGAATTTAGTAAAATATTCACCTGTCATCAACAGCCTGTGGTATATCATTAGAAGGTAAAACATCTTTATCAACATCTTCTTCTTCATCAAAATCTTCAAAATCCGATATTCCCTATGGATAATACCAGTAGAACATGCAGTTACCAGGTATGCATTGTTAGCATAATGAGATTTGATTACAGCATACCCCAGTAATATTAATAACTATCTGACATACAGTATCCATCACTATCCAGTAATAACAGTCTTACACACACACACACACACACACACACACACACAGGATACAGCTACTAGTACTAGTACATCAAGGTTCACATTCCTTCATTTATCTAAAAGACAACGGCTTCACATCTTATATACAATTTGCATATTCCCCACTTATATAACAAGATACAATGAATGGATTCAATTATCATCTGTTGAAGTTAGACACAGTTAAGGCTTGAATTTCGATATTCTGAGGACACTAAGTTTTGAGACCTAAATTTCTAAAAAAGCCCTGGAATGATTGAGTTGTGAAGGAAGTGCTGAAGGGAATCAAGGCATTCAGGAAGAGTGACAATCTGATAATACAAAGTATACTTACAAAATCAAATTCTGGTGGTACATCTGTGGGCAAGATGCTGCTAGCAGTCTCACGTACTAGAACACATAAACATACAAAGTTACTGCAGCACAAACATAAATTAGAAAATCAAGCAATTCACAGTACTATTATTGTGTATAATTACGTTTTAATGATAACTGCTATAGAAACAAAGATTGCGATTGCGTGGATATGTTTGATGGTGTTATTTTATTGGAATTTAATCATCGTTGAGGTGTGAAACACTATAGAACATTCATCTTAACTCACATAAGTTTTCAATAAAAACCCTTTTTGGCTTTGTATAACATTACTGCTGCAAGTCATTGAAAGGACGACTGAGATATCTGTAACATTTTTGAATGTGGAGCACATTAGTATATTGGTGATAATGAATATTTATTATCTAAAGTAAGCCTAAGCATAAATTACAGATTACAGTTCTTACCATTGTGAAATCTATCTTCATCTTGATCATCAAAACCATCTTCATTATCACTGAGTAAATCAACCGTTGCCACATTCACCTCATTATTAGGTTCTCTATTTGACATTCCTGTATTTGTCTAAAAAACACAGAATCCATCAATATACTTGGCACTGTTAATTGTAGGTGAACATCATGATAATACTGTAAACAACTTAATTTTTGTTGCTATGAATTCTCACGATTTGATGGCGTTCGCAAAGGCAAAATTTCACAACAACCGCTAACACAGTGTCATATAACCCCCCAAAAAATGTCACTGCTACAGAATATCTAGAATTTCACTGATTCACGAAAATCGTCATTATGCAAGATATGTGTATATGCATAATGTGTGGTTATATTATTTTATTTATGAGTGAAGCAGACTTTTAAGCAAGTCTGGACACCACTAAGAATAAGAAGTACAAAATGTTCCCTGGGCTTGACAGCAAAATGTTAAAAGTTGACATATAAATTCATAAGGGATAGACCTAAGAGGCAGACATTCATTTTCTAGGTAATGCTTCATATTGAATTTAAATTACTAAGAAGATAGCATTCAAATAGACCATTTTCCATTGGCTGTGAAATCCCACGTTATGTGAAATTGAACGAAAAAACAGGACAAACAAAGGTCATAGCATCATAGTGGAACATCGTGTGGGGTTCGTCAAACGCCAAATATTTTAGGGTTTTTCCATGCTTAATAATGTGCTATACACATTAGATGGTGATTAATTACGATGAGGTAAGGATATCTCAACGCAATATTCCCCACTCAAGAATCCCCATTATGACATTGAGCTATAAAAAAAGAAACATGAATTAATAATCAAATTGTTAAATCTTTGTGGCAGATGTGGGACCGCGCCTTTCACACAATAAGCAAGATCCCGAGGTGAATGGAAAATCATTTATTACCAGTGGGGAAATGCTATGTGAGTGAAATAAATCCGCAGAGTTCTACTCCAGTTGGTGGATGACGTTTTTGTACAAATCTTTTTTATCAGCTGAATATGTTTTTGATTTAATTTACATCCCATTTATTACTATTTTGGGGACATTTGTACCACACTAATGAGGAATATTTCTGGTAATTTATTTTCAGTGCCCTTCAAGGACTTGGTAAAAATGGTCAGAATTTTAAATGAGTTGAGATTGAGTTCCACCAATGAGTACACTCAGTGTTGATACTTACAGAGGTATTATCCCTGAAATCACTAGATAATAAACTTGATTGTAGAAATGAAGAATCATCTGCAAAGTAAAAGATACAAAAGGTCAAAACAAGCGATCTGACAGTCGAGATAGCTCTGCTGTCCTACAAGAACATTGTGGAAACCAAGTCGAGCAGAGCAACACATCAAGTTCATCAAACAAATTGTTTACAAAAATAATTGGCAGTGTACCCAAAATTAAAAAATATTTGAAAATAATTGATATCGGTACGAAATTTGATAGAGGTCCACCCAGGGCATTGAGCATAAGGAATATTTAAAACAAGTCTTGTTGAGAATGTCATAGAATGTTTTAGTACATCATATGACAAATAATATGTCAGAATTTAACAGTACATGCTCCTTTTTGATCCAGTGCATGTAGCAGTTCAAAACTAATGACTAAACTAATGACTTGGACTGCCAGACAATTCAACATGTTTGAGTCTCTATGTTTGCAAAATGTCAAACATATATCCCAATTCAAGTAGTTATGTCAGATTGCAGGAGCAGACATGCTTGGCGAATTGGCAGAGTTATAACTACCAGTATTCTACATTGTATGATTTGAAATAGTGATATGTTCTATGGCTGCCAGTCAACTATCTTGGATTGTATGGTGACACAATCAACTGTATTGATATGTTTGAACACAATAGTCTGTTAACCAAGTTTAGACCTAATTGGACAAGTACAATTGTCCAAAAAAAAACGATGAAAATTGCAGATGGCGAATGGTTAGCCATATTGTACAATATCTCAACTAAAATCAACTTGCATCTTCTTGAAATAATATACTGCCTCTGTACTAAATCTGAATAAACTTACCAAGTGATAAGCAAAAATGAACACAAATAAGTATTTTTTATGAAGAAAACAGATGCCAGTCGGCTAATTTTGAAATGTGAAAAATAATGATGTGTGCTTCAGCATGCCAACAGGTGTTATCCATATTCTACGTTTGAACAGAAACGCACTACATAAATAATATATTGGTTTTTAGGCTATTTTGAGGTCAAATATGACCGCTAACAAAATATCGGGACATATGTGTACCATCATGTATCAAATATTTACCAAGTTTGATTAATGAATTTCTGATATAAGGCGACGATGGCGGATGGACAGAACCAAATCCATAAGCCCAGGGGCTATGTCCAGTGGGGGGGGGGGGGGGGGGGGCTAATTATTTTCATACTTTCTACAAAGCTCCATCAGAAGGACAATATAGATATAGAAATATAGATACCAAAATCAGACCATTCATCAGCTCCATAATCTTCGATATCTAGAACCGGTTTTGGTGATTTCTTCCTTGTTAACCTAAATAGATAATAAATATACCGATAGCTACATTATGGTAGTAACATACAGGGGAAACCTAATCAAGAGTTTAATTGCAATTAGGTATTCTCCACCAGTTCGTGTACTTTTCAAGTTAATATTCACTTAGCATATTAAATCTCTGAATTTTTTTTTTTTTGCATGATTGGCTGTTTTTAACCATTTGTTTGTTCATGTTTTTTACTGTTACTTCACAAGAAAATAATTTTTGAAATTGATTCCTTGAATATTTCAGACACATTTCCATGATGAAGTGGGCATACCTAAAAATTAGAGATTCATTGTTTCAATTTTAGCATCGTTAGCATGAATTATTTTGACCAGTCACATCACTGTCGTTTACCTAAAGCGCTTGTAGTACATGTAATATAGTAAATACAGTATAAAATGTTGCATTCAATAAAATTCCACTTGAACGAAAGACACGCTGCTATCTGATAATTTAGGAGCTGCAAAATTGTTAAATTTATTCTTACCTATTATTTATGACTGGTGAGACGGTCGCTTGAGGCTTTTTACCTGGAACTCCAAAATTGTTGGATGGAGTTAAATTAGTTGTCTTTGTATCATTATTTTTAAACCATGACTGTAAACTTGACTGCTTTGTAGAAACAGGAACAGAATGCACCTTAGCAGTAACACCACTTTGTACCACAGGAATGAAACCAGTCTTAGATTTGGGTACTGTTTTGATGGGAACAGTCAGTGAAGTGCTAGTTGACTTTTTACTTGAAAGTTTATTGATTTTGCCACTAGATGGTTTCTTGAAAGTAAAACTGTAAAGTAATAGATGGTAAAAAAAACTATAGTGGTTATAATTTCAATATCCCCAAACAATACAGAACAATCTGATTATAATCTGATGTTGGTATAAAGACTCCTAATTCCAGTTGCAGGTTCATATCGCAAGTGACTTTAATAGTAACTACATTCAACCAACTACAAGTTGTGATCTTTCAAGAACAGTAACCTATCAGATCTTGTGTTATATGCCAGATTTTAATAAGACATGATTTGATTGGTTGAAAAATCCTATCCAAGGGAAACTTCTAGGTGCAACTTGTATATACATACATGTAGGTGGTTGGCCTGATACAGTAAGAGGCAATGTACACTGGTGAATAGAAAGAATCTGGAACCTCTACCTACATCGGAATTTAGCAAGATTGAACCTTTTGAACAATGAGTTTGATATGTCGAACAGCGTGCACTGAATACCCAATACTGCAATGTTTAACCTATTCACCAATTAATTTGCCAAAATAATATTTGGTCAAGAAGATATTTTACTGCCTGATAATTTACACAAGAAAGAAAGGATAATCATCACTCGACTGGCAAAGTCAGGACTTCTTTTTTGTTTTACAAATACATGATAATTAATTTAGCCTTTTTAGTGTGATCACAAAAGAAATCCCAACTGGACACAGTTAATTAATAGCAGTCAAATGCCCGCAGATACGTCAAGTAAGGATTTCTTTCGCGGTCATATTAGATTTCGCGATCATGCTAAAAGGACTCAAAACAATTAATAATTTCTTTTTGTAAAACAAAAAAGAACTCCCGACATTGCCAGTCTAAATCATGACCTATAATAAACACTACTGCTTCATTATCATGAACAGTGAGACAAATTTATGGACAACATTTGCTCAAGAAACTACTGTAAATACATAAACTATCGATATTTAATAGATTTTATTTTAATTATTTTCACTATTAAGTGTAATTCTCTTAAAAATATTCACAAAATAATGTAAAATTACAATTACAGGAAAATTCATGAATTTAAAATCCAGAGTATACAAATGTATGATCAAAATAGTGAAATTAAATTGCAGTGAAAATTAATTAATGCTTTTGAATGCTAACAATTCAAAAATAACTTACTTGCGAGATGCTGTTTTTGGAGCACGTTGAGGTTGCTCTGATAATTGAAGGAACTTTCCAATTTGTTCATTGTAGTTGTTTTTTGGTTTCAGCATCTCTGTGACTAAGAAGTTGAAGTTAGACTGTAAGTAAACAGGTTATAGATCATTCCTTAATTAATTAATTAATTTATTTTGTGTGTATTTTTTTTATTATGTGAAACTCAGACTGTAACATGAGGCTTACTTTAGAATCAAATAATAGGCTTTCACTCTAAACTTGTGGCTAAATTATAATATGTCACATTGTGTATTAGTAAATGAGTCCAGGGATGGGCCATTTACCATAGCAACATGCTGCTTATACCAGCATATGAAGTAAAATTTGTGTAGCCTTCAATTTGATAAATCAATAGGACAAACTTACAAATTACATAATTTCAAGGACATTTGTGGAGGTGAATAAATTAAGGAAGTCAGCAAATACTGTAGGCAAAAAGTTCATATTGGAATTTTTTACGGTACTGATTTACTTCAAAGGAAAACAAATTATACTTAGAGAAACAAAATTTTCAGCTATATTTCATCTGTTGATATATAATGCCCCAATAGATATAAATGTACTAATACAGTGTATAAGACACCAAAACAGGATATCAATAACAATTTGAAAGGGAGGTAAGATCTTATTTGAAAATAAACACCGAGAGAGCGAGAGAGTCACACAATTTTTTTTTTTACCTTTCCCATATACATTGTAATGTTCACCATCACATCCTCTGTTCTAATACCATAGTTACATGGGTCAGCAAAACAGAGGACATAATGGCTGTATGGAATATACCGGTAACATTATTTGGGTGGCAAAAACCAAGTTGTGCGACTCTCGCGTTCTCATCAAGATCTCAGTAGCCAATTGCAAATGTGATCTATTGTTGTGGCTATGTGCATTTGAATTTTATGTTAAAGTGCCTGTGCAATGCCCACCCACACGCTTCCCATTTTAGATCTGTGCCCCACTGAAGTGGGCAATTAGTGATTTATTTGCTGAAAATGATTACTCGTATCCAAGTAAATTTGTGATATTTCCCGTGCTGTAGCCACGCCCACCTATCCTGAAACGGTCGACTGTTTCCGGATTTCCGACTCTCGCCGAAAGTGCGCCACCAAATGCAAAAATATGAGAGGAAGCCATACCCCTGGGCCGTACTTTTATATCACTGTGTCATTCAACGTACAACTGTACTTTTAAACAATATACATTTTTTAATCGGCGTTTCTTTTGTCTATTTTATTTTATTTTTGAGAGAGCAAATTTTTAGAAGTTGTTTTCAAAACAAACATTTATGATGGTTAAACGTTGTGTTGTGGGCGGTTACAGTAATGCGTATAGTCATAGTGTAAGTATTTACACATTTCCAATCGATCCGAAGGTGCGAAATCGGTGGACGAAAGCCGTGAAAATAACTAGAAAAGGTTGGGGTGGACTTTCTCCTTACAGCGTCATATGTAGTGACCACTTCACCTCAGATTCTTTTTTTCGAAAAACTGTCCTTGTCCATGACAAAACAACTAGGTTTTAACGAGAAACGCCGACAACTTGGCGCAATACAAAACGTTTTCGAGAAAATAGATTCCGGACCAGCCCATGATCACTGAGGTGGATTTCAGAAGGGAGAGAGACGTCGAGTGAGTGTTTCAAATGATTTAATTTTTTTTGAGATCCTGATTATCACTTTATAGAGACCAGGCTAAAAGTGTCTGAATTGTTCGGTGATTGGTGTTGAATGTCAAATTCACACCTTTGTTGCCTTTACTTGCAGCTTAATCTGCATAATAATTTATGGAATAAGAATCCGGGCTTGGGCTGTCAATGTATTTTTTAAATATGATGTCATAATTATGAAAATCACGCTAAATCCACTCTGAATTTGTATACGAGTCGTTCTTAATTATTATCCAATTAAACGCCGCCATTCACGCACTTGTCCCCGTCATGACCCGATGCGTTCACCCATTACCGGGGGGTACAACAAATTTATTTCCACGCGACAGTCATTTATTTAGTAACTGTGTTTTGTAGTTTTTTTTTTTTATTATTTCTCTATTTTATTAATCACTATAGTTTAATGTTTAGAATGTCAAAATATTCTCTTTTTATTTTAATTTTGAATGTGTTTTTTTACTCGGACGATCGATGAAATAAAACAGTGTAGTGACGTGCCTAGTAACCTGCTAAATAACAAGACGATTCAGGCGTCAAATTTGATTTTGTCCAGTGCCGGAGTCCAGCAACAGTGTACAAACGTGCGCCGGTGACTCACTGTGATGACCACGGTGACTAGCTACACCACATCGGACATATTTTGCATCTTACTCAACCCCATGTAACAAACTTGATACTATGCAGTGTTCTCCCCAGCATTCAATTCGTGTGTGGGGCCGCCATGCTGCTTTCCCTGCCCACCACTGTGGTCTTGAGCCGCCACGGTGATTAATAAGACCGCCACAGTGCTTTTTTCATTGTTCATCCTGTGAACTGTATTACGAAATATAGAAATACGTAGCTATAATTGATCTTGCCACACTTCCGACCAGGAATATTGTCCGACGTACCAACCGACACGCATCCTGCCAGTCGTGGATTATAATTTGTAAACGTAGTCGCACGATGTGGTAGTGGCTTATAAACAATACAAGTTAATTTTGTAAAATTAGCACCTCTTTGTTCGTAAGTAAATACTTTGACGATCGACGCAGTCTTTAGATTTAAAGCTAACATTTTTTTCAAAATCAATTACACCCCGATATAACATGGGCAAAGCGGAGTTCACGATCAGTTTACGCTACTCAAGAAAAAAACATGTTTATTGCGTGATTGGGTAAAATACATTTGAACTTTTATCATCGCAAATCATGTAAAAACTCTTCTTTCAAGACTTCTTTTACCTTTAAAAATTGCTTATCACCTACATTTGTATTTCAAAAAACATCATGCAGTTTTCATCTGAAATCCATACCAACACATCGTGCTACGACATCGCTTTACTTCCGCAATGTAATTTTTATGATCACTACCATTCGAAAACTTCGGGTTCTGCCGGCATTACCATGCAGTATTCTGATTGGTTAAGCGTTTTTGACCCATCGGGTCAAAGGACACATGCCGGTCAACTAATACGTCACAATTATCATGGCGGTCTGTGTTTTTCACCGAAGCGATCGAGTGATCAAAAATAATCGCTCAAATTTTACGTTTATTTCATATAAAAAAAGAAGTAACATTTTTTGCATGGCATGACCGAGTAAGAGGAATTATTGGTATAACGGTGTATAACATCGCGAAGTAAGTTAAGTCACACCGTAACTTTGATGATCGTTTGGAAGTTTTATTTGTTCATTCATTACTGTAAATGTAAACGTTATAGAAGCTGATGGTACGAATAATGAACAATTTTTTGAAGGAGAATGTTTTTGTAGTAAATAAGATCATGGAACTCGAGAACATATTCCTGGCTGAAACGTTTCAAATGCATTTCATTTAGCCTTTTACAATTTATTTGTTTGTTTGTTTGTTTTTAATAGTCTGCAGCATTTGCATTTCGATTCGAGAATGTTTCATTTTTAAATTCAAACTCTTCTAAAATGTGAAACGTAATATTTTGACTCCAATAAAAAAAAATATTTGCACTGTGATGGAGCTCATTAATATTACAAAAGTGCCCAAAAGAATAGTGTTTATAACACTGTATGAAGCAATAAATATGTGCCACATTGTTTTTGAAAATATATGTTGGTTGTTATGTGGGTGTAAATGTGCTTTCGTCAATCTCTATTATTATATACTAGTAAATCATATGCAAATTAGTCCGCCACAGTGGTTTAAATTCCTGGGGAGAACACTGCTATGTGTTCATTATGATCCATTCTTCCCCGACGAACAAGTACATAAGTGGCAATTTAGTCAAAGACGAGAAAACAGCACAAGAAATTTGCCTTATTTACACGTATTGGCAATGCAAGCTACCCAGCAACTTCCCTGAGTCACAGGGGGAGTTTCTGTATGCAAATGAGAAGCTAATGAAGAGTCTGGTTTTAAAATACACAAAAATAAAGTTGCCGTAGACTGAATTTAAAACGCATTTTTCCACTTAAAAAAAATAATTTGTGCTTAGAAACATATAAATTAATAATATTTATGTATCGATGGATAATTTTAGGTGTGAAAATAGCAGCCATTTCACAGGCACTTTAATAGACAATGTATTTGACCTCAAGATTATATGTTGCTATGCATAGTATGTGACCCAAATCAAATGTACATAACCAGATAAAAACAGGGTAAAATTCAATGACCAGGTTTCGTTACTACTCAGTGCAATTTGGGTTACTAGTATTTTGCAAGGGTTGGGAGCTTAACACAAACAAAAAATTTGGAAACTAACACCAAAAATAGAAAGCCCCCAGAAGTGGGAGCACTTAGTCAAGCATGGGCGCTAAGTCGGTTGACTAATGGTGGTATTTCCAGAAATTAGCCATTAATAAAATACTGTGCATGTCTCATGACATGACACCTTAATAAGTATTGCACTCACGGCCAATGTTGCATATATCAGCACATACCTATGACTAGCTGCAGTATATAAATATCGTGTTGGTGAAAACGACTGGTTTGGTGCCTTGTTAGCATGAATTCAGCACGGGCATGAAATGAATTCACACTGTCACTGTAAAATCACTGGCTTTTGGCACCTTTCATACACTCCCTGTATATCAAATCATGGAACAAATAAATACACGTAGTAAACATGCATAATTTCATGTCTGATCATTCAGTTCACCATGCAGGCGGTATGCCGGGACATTAGAAATTGAAGGTGAGTAGGGTCGGATATACAGTGTACGTGTTTACTATTTACATCACAGTGACTGTGTATTGATCAACGAAAGGTACCAAACGCCTGTGTGTAAAATGAACTACCTTTTTGAAAGTGAACCGAGAATAATAGTTGCTAAGTGTGGCCTATAATACAATATACATGTATAGTGTGTGTGTAAGTACTATACCTTGCAGCCTGTCGTAAAACACGAAATTCTATTTCATAAGTTCATTTTCGAGTTTAGGTAGATGAACAGAGGAAAATGAAAAATGGCGCCCGTTCGTATACATCACTGATTGGCTGAAAATAAACTTTCACCCTTCTGACAAGTGTCGACAATAACAAATGATAGAAGTAGTTAGGTGTAGTTATTATTATGTTTTTTTAAATGAAAACTGGTTTGTAAAGTCACAGTAGTGAATTAAGTCTTAAATTCATTAAAACAAAGTCAACTTCTACTCTGATTACCCATGATCCCACAGACTCGATCCTTTCGCCGCCATATTGAATATTGGTAAGATGTGTTTTGATGTGGGTCTTGTATTTTATCCACGAAAATCGTCACCATCCGTTTATTTGGGAACACACGACGATAACTCACAAGTTATTTATATGTTTGAAAATGTATTTTGATAGTATTTATTAAGATAATTGTAGAGTGACTAGTTAAAAAGCTTTGACGTTGGTCGGATGACCTCAACATGTACATGTTGTGATACTTTTAGTAGTTTGATGGTACCCAAGCACGATACTTGTTTAGGTGACTATAGCTGTAGCCATTATAAAAAACTGCGGCAAATGAAAAAAAATCATTGCGACAGTGCTTATTTGGTAGACTAAATAATTGACTGCATAATTTTAAATTCTTGGAGTGATAAATCGAAGAATGTTTATTGTGATAAATACGCTTTGACGCTGTCCTATTTTGTGTTTAAATGCATGTACGAGCTAGCT